TGCTGTGTGAAAATGTTACAGGTCACTATAACATGCAAATTGAGAAAACTGGGTTTCGGTAAACCACTTTTAAGTTAAGTAAGGGAAAATGGGTTGTGGAAATACAGCCAGTATATTTTCTGGGGTTTTTTTTTTTTTTTTTTTTTTTTTGGGGGGGGGTTGTGCAAATCTGGCCAAGTGCAGTCTACTAAATACAGATAAATTATGGTTTAGGGTGACACTTAAATCTACCCATTGTCTTGCCAATCCAGATTCCATTGGCCATCATGGATAAATCAAATTTCTCAGCATCCCCTCTGCCACTGAATTGTAAGACTTTGGAATGAACATGTTTCCTGGCTTCTTTTAATTGCTAAGGAAGAGCACATCCCCTGGAAAAAGATTGACTTTCTTCTATGAACACAACCTCTAGATGACCCCTTTCCTCCCCACATAGTTCACACGCCCACAAGCCAAATAAATCTCTCTTTACACTTTTCTCAAGCAGGTTCACCGTGGGGCAGGCTGGGGGTTGTTAGTTTAGTTCCCTCATTCTGGAAACACCTGGTAAGGTGTGGAAAGATTTAGAAAGCGAAAGTGTTAAAGGAGGCTGCTTGGTAGGAATTTTTCCCATTTTTTTATTAGGTCCTCTGTTATGGAAAATAAATTTTAATCTGCCCATTAAAATAAGGATCAGAAAATGATCTTTGGTTTGCCCCAGGTAAAATACTGCCCTAGGACTCTGGAGTGCTGAAAGCATTCTTGAGACCTTCTGGGTGAGTTTTCAAGTAATCAAAGATTAGGAATCCAGCAGCACCTTTTCAACTAACACACTTTTATTAAATGAAAGTGTTCGTGAGCTGCAGATGCATGGAGTGGCTAAACTGATGTGGGATTTACACTGGGAAGATGTGGGGGGGGAGGGAAGTGGAAGACAGATTAATTATGCAGATGCAAGAGTTGGGTTTTTTTTTAAGGAGGGATAGGTTATGTTTAATTTCTTGTCACAACAGAGGCTGCTTGCCCATTTCTTTTGAAGCCTTCTTAATGAGTATACACAATGCACCATTTTCAGTTTAATAGTATTTGCTAGTCCAAAAGGTGCTACTGGACACCTAATTTGAAGCAATCAAGGAATAACCTGCCATTCTTCTACAAGTTTGCGAGAGATCAAAGGCAATTAAAAAATACAATTTACCTATAAATTGTGGCTTTTACTCTTTGTGTCCTGTTTTTCTTTACATCAATGAATAATAATCCCCTACACTAAGGAGAGTTATGCCTTAGCTAAGTCAAATAAGTGGAGAGCTGTATTTTAACATTTCATTTGTGCATCTTCTAGGGACATTTTCCAGTTTGTATTCCTAAGGTTCCCTATTAAAATGAATAATTTGCAAATCATAGCACGAGAGCTGAATGTGGTCCAGCACTACCTGGGATGAGCTGGGAATATCAGACCACGTAGTAGGGCTATATTACTATTATCCTTCTCATCTTTCCTATTACCTATTCCTTTACTATGTTATGACTATAATTTTGTTGTTTGACTCTTATGATTTATGTTGATTGCTTTTATTTAGTATCCTATGACTATCACTGAGTGTTGTATCTTATGATTTATGATGATTGTATTTTATGATTATGATAATTATTTATCACTTGTTGATTGTATGTATACTGAGAGGTTATGCTGTCCAATCACACTTGGTCAATAAAGTATTCTATTCTATTCTATTCTAGTCCATTCCATTCTATTCTATTCTATTCTATTCTATTCTATTCTATTCTATTCTATTCTATTCTATTCTATTCTTTCCCTGTAGGGGCCATCTAAATACTTAGAGCCTACTGATTTGTAATAACCATATCATAGAAGCATTGGGAAAGATAGTACTCTGTTGTAGCTTTCCTCCTAGTTTATTTCATTAAGCCATTTTATGATTCTTTCCTGGGCAATTTAATCAATTCTATGTTAAATTGTCTTTGTAATCCAATTGTTCTAGCAGTAGCAAGTTTTTAACTGGTGTCATTAGGACAAGGAAGCAAATTAATTTCAGTCTATATAAGAATATTGAGAGTTACTGAGTTTTAAAGAATCTGATATTTCAAAGTAATTTTGTTACTTTGTAATGGTATTTTAAATAAACTGTTAGCTGAGAACACAACCTAATAGAAGGCCTTCTCTGACTCTAATTGACTTAAATATTGTCCATCTCTTTGCACACATACAGATTTTGTTTACTAAGCTTGCAAAGAGAAAACGTTTCTTTTAACTCTAGCTCTGTTTTCACAGAACAACCCAAATCCATATTTATGCTGGCTTTTTTTATTCCACTTATTTATTTATTAAATTTATATTCCGTCCGTCTTACCGATAAGGTGACTGTGTGAGGCTTATAGACATTATAAAAGTTAAATACGGGAACAATTAAAATTAAGAAGAGATACATAAGAAACTAAAACAAGGGGACGGATGGCAACGGGATGAGATTTTCTTCTTACCTCATCAACCACCCTCCAGCAGAGGGCACCTCCCTGAGGTCTTAAGCCAACTGGCTAAACCCGGGTTTTAATGCCCGTCTGGGAGGCCAAAAGGCTGGCAACAGTTCTCATCTGCAGTGGCAGAATGTTCCATAGGATGGGGATCACAACGAGAGAGACTCTTCTTGACCCTGCCCGATGGAATTCCGTAGCTGATGGGATCCACGGCAGACCCCTTCCACTGGAGCAAGTGGGGCAGACTGATCCCATTGGATTATTTTGGTTTCGATTATTTAATCTGTGTTGATTGGAACATAAGTTTCACTAGTCCCCTTCGCACTTTCTTCCGAATCAGGCAGCATCTCAAAAGTCTTGGATGACTTTTAACGAAGAGAAGGACGAGGGGGGACATGATAGCAATGTTCCAATATCTCAGGGGCTGCCACAAAGAAGAGGGAGTCAAGCTATTCTCCAAAGCACCTGAAGGCAGGACAAGAAGCAACGGATGGAAACTAATCAAGGAGAGAAGCAACCTAGAACTAAGGAGAAACTTCCTGACAGTCAGAACAATTAACCAGTGGAACAACCTGCCTCCAGAAGTGGTGAATGCTCCAACACTGGAAGTTTTTAAGAAGAGACTGGACAGCCATTTGTCCAAAATGGTATAGGGTTTCCTGCCTGAGCAGGGGGTTGGACTCGATGACCTCCAAGGTCCCTTCCAACTTTATTACCATTATTAATAATAATAATAATAATTCAAAATTCCCACCCATTTCAGTTAACCTATCAGTAAATCTTGCCCTCTCATTTCCAGCAGACAGATTTTTCAGAGGCCTGGTCTTTCATTTCCCATTCTTGGCCACTAACAGTTCAGCTGCTTCCTTCAAGTCAAGGAAGAGAGGAACGGACACAAAAAAAGTCAAAATGGAACTACTAGCTGTAATCTTCTGGAGAACTCTGAGTTGCCAGTATATTTTTTTTGGAATGGGCCGTCATAATAAATGTAATAAAATAAATAAACTCCATATCTTCTTGAAGTTGCCTGCCATGCTTTTCTTCTTCAATAATCACATTTGTTTCTGGCCATTTCTCTTACTTATATTTTTGAAGGATGAAAAGCTTTCCCAATTTGGTTCAACTCCAAATGTATTTTATTGTCAGATCAATGGAAGGTGATTGGGTGTTCATACTACATCTTACTGGGCAAGTAGACATGATATTTTTCTCAGCACAGTTTCTTTCCCCTCGCCAATAGTGAAACAAGAAATATTTATCCTCCAAATTCTTCCTTTGTATGGAGTTATGGAAAGGAGTTGGCCAACTTAATGATCTACCTTGCTGGAAAAGACAGAAACAAATTAGTAAACCTTCACAGGTTATGTATAAAACTGTTTATTTTACATGTAGTGAAGACAGTGAGAGATTAATAACTTAGCATGCATAAGCAGAGGTTATTTTTTTATATAAATACAGTATATAAAAATAAAGACCATAAAGCCCTCCTAAGATTCTGAGTGGTTCCAACCATCATTGTGTAACATTCTTAGCTTGCTTGTTGTAGAATAAACAACGACATTCTCATAGCAATTGAAGAACACCAAACCTCAGGAGGGAAAATAAGTTTCAAGTGCCATTTTCTGACCTTGTGATTCAGTCTTTGAATGATGCTTTATGTCACCATTGTTGATAGAATGAAAGTGGAAGAGAGAAAAAGAAGCCTTGGAGCAGAGGGGAGAGGATAGCAGTGGCATTTGTAATGACCAGGTCTTTAATTTTTTATGACCCTTGGCTGTGGCTGGCAAGCTGAAAGGTTAGTGAGAAGTCTGAAGGCTACATCAGGTTATACATAACAGAACTGGCACCTTAATCTTCCCATCAGTCGTTGAAAAATGACGTACCTTCGGTGCCCATTAAAAGACACCAAAAGGATGTTGGAGGGCTAACCAATTCAGATGTTGAGCTGGAGGATGCCCTAAGTCACAGGTAAGTTCTATCAAAGGAACCCCCTGCGTTCATCCTAAAAATCACCCATATAATCATCTTTAATGTGAGAGAAGTTAATTGTCCTGAGACAGATTGTGGCCAGAATATTGGAAATGTTAGTTGGATAGCTACTTAGGAATCAGTGCACAACTGAAAAAACATCTGGACTACTGCTAAGTTTGGAGGTGCCTTCCCTGGGCTGGTGCTCTCCAAATTCACTGGACTACAAGCCCTATCGTTCCCAGCCAGCATGGCTAGGAATTTGGGAAGCTGAAATCCCTAGAGGGGCAGCACTAAAAGGTTGTTTGGCAGCAAGGACCAAACTGGCTCTTCCTGGAATCCAAGGCAGGAAGAGGGCAGCCAGGGTGGCAAGCCCCCCCCCATGTTTAAGGAATTTGAGCCTGGGACAGCTGTGGGTTGGCCCCCCCATGTCTGCTTTGGGGCTGCTTCCCACCATCATCCTTATCAGAACAGTCAGGAGAAGTGTAGGGGCAGCAATGTCCAGAATGTTGCTCTTCTTCTTCTTCCCCCTCCTCCTCCTCCTCCTCCTCCTCCTCCTCTTCTTCTTCTTCCTCCTCTTCTTCTTCTGGCTCATTGTCTCTGACTCCCCGCAGGCGGCGACCCCCATTGCTCTTTTCAGCCCCCCCTGACAGTAGCTGCCCCTCCTCTGCCCCCTTGTCCTGCTCAGCATTTCCACCCTTCTGTTTCTCAGCTTCTTGGACTGCCTGCTCCTTGGCCTTCTTGCTCCGTTTCCATTTCATGCGTCGGTTCTGAAACCAGATCTTCACCTACAGAAAGGAGGGGAAGCAGACTGGGCTCATACACCATTAAATACATGGTTTCTTCCACTGTGGTTGAGTGAGTAAAACCAGAGTGGCTGGGATCTAATAACCTGGTGGTTTGGTTTAGGCTGGCATCACATGAGTCCACCAGGAATGGAACAATATTTTATTTCATTATTTATTGGTTAAATGTATTTCCATCCTACCTCACTATGGGGCTACTCTGGTTTGGGTACAATACTTGCATTCAAAGTGAACATACATCAAAGCAGCATTTACCTTATGACATTACCACACGTGTATCATCAGTTTGACTTTGGTGCAGTTATTCTGCGTGCTGGATGAACCAGTTCTAGATTTGCAATCAGAATTTGGTCAGGGAAAGCATTTCAAAAGGAAATGAATCAAACCAAGGCTAATTGAATGCCAAGCTTTGAATGGGATTGTCTCTGGGCTCATGCCTTGCCCTAAACCAGAGGAAGGCAACCTTGGCTCTTTTATGACTCGTGGACTTCAACTCCCAGAATTCCTAAGCCAGCATGGCTCAGCATGGAAACCTCTCCCTTTCCCCTCAGCATGGCTGGCTCAGGAATTCTGGGAGTTGAAGTCCACGAGTCATAAAAGAGCCAAGGTTGCCTACCCCTGCCCTAAACCATGGTTGTTTTCACTTGGGTTTCTTGAACAAGGTATTATTACTTGATTTACACTAACTAATAACTGTGGAGTCCTTGGTGCTCTTTGAGCTGGTTGGTCGAGGATGACATTACCAAGTTGGATAATGAAATGTCTCCAAACAACCAGGCTCAAAAAACAGCAAGAATTCCACACTTCAGCCCTGAGCTTCTTCTCTTCAGTTGAACTAGCTACAAACATGATTTTAGAAAGGACAATGCCTCAGTTCCCACATCCTGCTAGGCTGTAGGATGGTTTACTGAAATTTGTGAGCCCAGTTTTGTCTAATGCTAAAACCAATGACTGAAGTCACATCATGTTTTATGCTGGCTGTAACTGATAGAATGTAGTAGCCAGCAGTATCCTGAGATATAGAGTTTCCTGCTCTAAAGTTTGTAAATCACATGGCAGGACAATCAGACCACCCCCTCTTTATAAGGCAGATATGAAGTTTCCCCTGTATGCGGGTGGGTGTGTATGTGTGTGTGTTATTTATCAGACCTGTTAAATTTAAGCAATTGGTTCTCCAGAACTTAAATCAAATACTTTGCCTTTTTTTCCTTCTGTTTAGATTCCGCTTTCCTCCAGAACTGAAATGTAACACCTGTGCTCCCCTTTCCTTTTTTAAAAAATGCACACAGCAGTCCAGATGTGGGTCCTGTCTATTTTCCTTCCTCTCCGTTTTGTTTCCTTTAGTCATTTTCTGTTTGCTTACCTTTGTTTAGAATGGATATTATGGTGGGAGCCAGAAAGGGGGAAATTGGGTGTGAATATTTAAAGAAATCAGCTGTGGAAAGATTGCCCAGCAAGAAAGCTAAATTCAGGCCCATTTAATTAATCAGAGGTTGGCAGTAATGTTTACATACCATCTGAAAATCCCAGAACCAGAAATGAGATTTCAGCTTCTGGAAAGTTTGCAAAGGGAGAAGGAAACAATGGAATTAGGCAAGTGAAAGGGTCTTATGTTCTTTAAAAATAAATGGCCAAAACAACGCAGTGAGCAAAGCTTAAGCTATGGTGTGGAACAGGGGTCTTCAAACTTGGCCCTTTTATGACTTGTGGACTTCAACTCCCAGAATTCCTCAGCCAGGCACGCTGGCTGAGGAATTCTGGGAGTTGAAGTCCACAAGTCATAAAAGGGCCAAGTTTGAAGACCCCTGGTGTGGAACAAAGTATCGTGTTTCCCCAAAAGTTAGACCTAGCCCGATAGTAAGCCCTAGCTTGATTTGGGGGGATGGGCCTAATATAAGCCCTACTTCAAAACTAAGCCCTAGTTTTGGGGTGATGCGCACCCCTAAAAATCAAGCTAGGGCAGAGGTAGGGGGTGAAGCTGCCCCATGCACCCCTCACCCACTTACATTACCAGTAGGATCACCACAGCCAGGCCTCCCATTCCCTGACACCTCTTGCGCTACTACTTGACTTCTTCTGTGGCCACTTGCCACCGCTTGTGGCTGGATGCAATGTGGCGCATTGTGCTGTTGCTGCTCCTTCTGGCAGGACACCACATGGCGCTTCGGGCCACTTCTGTTGTTCGGGGGCTTCGGGCTATTTCTGTTGCTTGTGGCAGGAGGCCACATGGCTCTTTGGGCCGTTTCCGGTGCGGAAACAGCCCAAAGAGCCATGCAGTGTCCTGCCAGAAGGAGCGGAAATGGCGCAATGCGCCATATGGCGTCCGGCGGCAAGTGGCAGCAAGTGGCCATAGAAGAAGTCAAGCAGCAGCGTGACAGCTATCGGAGTGTGGGTGGCCTGGCTGTGATGGTCCTATGGTAAGACATTCTCCGAAATTAAGACCTAGTACCTCTTTTGGAGGCAAAATAAATATAAGACTTGGGGAAACATGGTAGATTGTCCTGATGAACTTGGAAGGAAAGGTTTGTGTCCAGATTCTTCCTTCCATGATGTCAGTCTGATAACCATCTCACAACTATGCCTTCTGGGGGGATTTTTATGCTGTAGCCTGTATCTGCTTACGCTGAGTGGGATGAGAGTTGTTGCTTAAAGCTGCCTTCCCCATTGGTACCCTCTAGTTCAGGGGTAGGCAACCTTGGCTCTTTTATGACTCGTGGACTTCAACTCCCAGAATTCCTGAGCCAGCTGGGAGTTGAAGTCCACGAGTCATAAAAGAGCCAAGGTTCCCCACCCCTGCTCTAGTTTGAAGTTAGCCATCAAGGCCCACAGTATTTTGAAAGCTGCCTTGAATAAGGCAAAGTAAAGAAGTTTTCAGTTAATCCATTTTATGCCACTCTTCCAATTCATCCTGTGCTCTTCTCACTAAGCACGCAAAACTTGTGTAAACCAAAGTCCCTGTGATCTCGGGCCATTGTTTCTGTTTAAGCACCCTCTTCATAAGGTAGCTTCGCCCAATTTCAATATTAACACATTGGTTTTCTCCACTATTTTTATTTTGACTATTGAAACCAATGAACAAGCAACCAGGAATCTCTGAAGGAACTCCGATGTCTTTCAGGGTGTTAATTTAATGAAATTGTTTGATTGTTATGAATGAGAAGCATGGTCGCCTTTCTCATTTCATATGCTGAACCAGGTTGGGGGGGGATTTACTCAGGTGGACCACCACCTTTCACACAGCCCTGAGGAAAGGTTCACACTAACAGTCCAGGGTTTTGCAAACTTGGCACAGTGGCTGTGAAATCCTGGGAGTTGGAAGTTCACCCATCTGGAAGTTGCCAAGTTTGAAAAACACTGATCTAGTTTTCAAAAATAGCTTGGACAGCCATTTGACCAAGATGGCACAATTGAATGAGAGTTGGAGTAGAAGACCTTGGGGATCTCACCCAGCCCGATGCTTCTATGTTCCATTCTATGGAGTACAGGGATTCATTACTGTATTATACTCATTACTGTATTATACTCATATACACCATCTCTTGGGAATTTTTGGCGCATGATCGACCGACATGGCGTACCCTGGTTTACCAGGGTTGCCAGACATATGAACACAGAAGGACAATCTTGGCACAAGAGAAGCGAGCACTCTGTAAAGCCAGAGCTGCAAATGCTGAAGCAACAGTGTCCACATTTCTCTGTTCAGTATGTGGCAGAACATTCCGTGCTAACATCGGTCTCATCAGCCATCTTCGGACACACCGCTGATGGCCCACAATCCATAAGATGTCAAGGTCTTCATCGAAATCGATGGACGAACAACATACTCATATCTATATGCCAAGTGTGTACCCCCAGAGATCCGGGTGATTCCAGATCTCCCCTCCTTCCGCCGCGCCCTCAAGACATGGCTATTTCAGCTGGCAGGACTGGCCTAAGGGGTATTTTAAATTTGGTTTTTAAATAACTTTTAAAAAAAAAGAAAAAGCCTATATTAATATTTCATTTTAACCATATTTTAAATTTTGTATATTGTATTAGCTATTTTGTTTTAAACTGGCTGTAAGCCGCCCTGAGTCCACCAGGAGAAGGGCGGGGTATAAATGTGATTAAATGTGATTAAAGTACAGTTCTGGCTGGGAAGGAGCGCTCCCATCACGCCAAGGCCGCTGAGCTACCTGGGAGGAGGCGACGCCCCTTCCCAAACACCCCCCCCCACCGTACTCGGAGGCACCCACACCCACCTGCGTCTCGGTGAGCATGAGTGACGTAGCCACCTCGAAGCGCTTCGGCCGGGACAGGTACTTGTTGAGCTTGAACTGGTGCTCCAACTCCAGCAGCTGCTGGCTGGTGAACGCGGTGCGGGGCCGCCGGCATTTGCCCAGCAGATTGGACTGGGCTTGGGCTGCGGGAGAGGGTCAGAAACGAAAAGGGGGCGTGAGTCTCGGCAGGCGGTGAAGCGCTGCGCCGTTAGAGGGCGCTGCATCCCCACTTCTGCTGTGGCGGCGGCGGCGGCGGCGGCGGCAGGGAAATAACGGAGGAGCCGCGTTGGATGGAAAAAAATCAGCTGGGAGAAAACCTATTCTGTGCAATTCGGGGTTCTTTAAGGTTGTCCTAATCCTAAACGAAGTTAAGAGGACGTGTTTTCTTCGCCCTGACCGTCTCTTTGTCGTATTTTTGATTGTACCGTCCCCGGGGCAGCGGCTTCGCCTTTATTGCCCCGCCAAGCTCGGGGCACTGAAGGCGCTGCTAGTAAACCAAGGCAAAGGAGAGGCGTGGAAGCTAGCGAGGCGTCGGGCTCACACGGTGGCCTGCCTTGCCTGCCGGCTGCCTATCCCGACGCTGTGCACCCTTAACGACTTCTTCTTCTCACTACCCCGGCTCATACGAGTTCCACCAAATTCGTGTCCCGTTTAAAAAACTGGAAATGTAGGTGGGAAAGAGGCTTAACTCAATCTGGTAAACTTTTTTACTACTTGAGAAGGACACTCCCCAGCACCACACATAAATGGAGATCTCCGTTTGTCTTCAAATCAACCCTTCGCCAAGGAGCGCCAGGGTCTGGGACCGTCCAGTGAGGCCGCACTAGCAAAGCCTCAGCCCCACACGCTCCCTGGGGAACGGCCTCGCGCGGAAAGGGCGCGGGACTGCCTTGTCCTCCAGCCGAGGAGGCGAAGCCGGGCTGGGCTAGAAGGGGAGGTAGCGAAAATCTGGACCCCCGCTAGAAGGAAAGAAAGGGGGGCTTTCGTCTCTCTTCGCCGCCATTTAGGCGCTGCCTGGACCCCTGCAGACTTGATGTCGTGGTCACCCAAGAGAGAAGATTACTGCAAACCCTACGGATCCCTAATAGGATTTAGGATGGAGACCCTCTTTCGGTGGATCAAAAATTCCAACTGCTTCCTGCTTGCCTAAGCTTCGAAAGAAGGAAATTGGACTTTTTTTTTTCTTTCCTAAATGGGGTTTCGGAGATGCGGATCCAAGTTGGAAGCTGTAGAAAAAGAACCTCGAGCCCTGCATTGCTAGGGCGCCCCAAATCATTAAATCAAATTGTTCGCCCTGAATCATAGTGGTGTAATTCAAAAGCAACTCCAAATTCCCCGCCAGCATTCCGGGCTCTCTTCCCTTCTGACAAAAATAAAATAAAATAAAAATAAAGGCTACGTGCCCCCCCCTCCCATAGCAAGGGAAGCAGTCAACAAAATTTAAGTGCCCCCTCCCTCACGCAAGGGGGGGGAGGGAATTAAACCTGCGAATTTCCCAGACCCGCCTCTTTAGGCAGTTCTCTCCGCTTGCAGCGCCCTCTCGGCCACTGCCCCGCCCGCAGCCCCCCTTCCAACCTCGCCACCGCCCCGGTCCTCTCTTTGGAGAGCGAGTGAAGGCTGCAGGAGGCGCACCCGCCTCTCCCGAGCTCCGTCCTTTCTCGGCTTCCTCGCGAGCAGGAAATGTGACTCTCTTCTCAGAGCCTGGGCTGAACGCGTGTTCCTCGGCGAGCATCCCTGTCGTCCGAGGCGAAGGGAGCTGGAGAGCTGGCGGGGAAAATCGGAGCTAGTTTTCAATTAATTCATAGCGGAGGGGGGGAAAGACCCGAGCCAAGCCTGCCAAGGAAAAGCTCAACTAGCAAAAGGCAAGGCGCGGTGGGGCCCTTTCCGCTCGCCGCTCCCTGCTTTTTCCAGAGAACGAAGCAGGGAATTCTGTTGCGCTCAAGCGACCCTCGCCGCCTTGGGGCGTCCTTCATTATAAGACCCCCGAAGGGCGGTTTGGCATGAAAATGCCACTGAGTTGCCACAATCCCTCCGGAGATTCATTGGCATAATTGTGACCAGGGTCGACAAAGCTATATATATATTCATTCTTGAAAATGGAGGTTTCGCCCATGGGAACTACTAAGATTTGAATCTCAGATTACATTTATACCAACCAGTCTAAATTCATTCAGATGTTTTCCGAAATTTAATTTGGGTTGTTTGGGGGGGCGGGGCTGTCAACCTTTATGGAATGTAAGCCCATTTTTATTACTCTGCACACCCTACCTTAAAACAAGAACGTAGGGAGGGGGGGCATTTTTAAAACACTGTTTATCTAAGTGCGATCGAAGCGAGCGTGTCCTCTCTTGCCCGACTTAAGGCTCATCGATTTGGTTCAAAATAGATTTCAGCAATCGCTGAATTCGGGCTGAAAAGAACTGGTCCTTTATTAACATCCCTGCCTCTTGCTAACCGGCTTTTTTTTAAAAAGAAAAGAAAAGAAAAGAAAGAAAGAAAGAAAGAAAGAAGAAAGACTCCCAAATCTATTTAGAAGAAACATTTCTACACTTATGAGATTTGAAACATTATCTTGAATGCTTCCAAGATTTTCACGGAGCTCTGGGTCAAGGTGGGTAGGAAATTTGCTATCTCCTTCGATACCCCGCCCCCGTCTCCCAAAAGGTCCCATTTATAAAATAGGGACAATCGGGGGGGGGGGGATCATCCTTACCCGCTGGGAATTTTTCAGTACAATTAAAATATGTTAGTAAGGAAGCTCCTTGAGAAAACCATATTTACTGTTACTTTACAGAGATATCAAGAAAAGCAAATAAGGCCTCACTCCGACCTAGCTGTATATACAATCCAGTCTAGAGGAAAATTAATTGTGAGGTTAATACGTGTTATCTTGGGGTTATTTTTTTTTAAGGAAAAAAAATCTGTAATTGACTGATTTAAACCTGGGCTGCCAGCGTTTACTACAGAAATCCGCCTTTCCGAATCCAGCCCAAGTGCAGCGCTCCGATGTATCTCCTGTTCCACGGACTGCACACCGAAGAGAACTCGGTTGACCACCAGGGTAGTGGTTGAAAATGTCGTATGGGTAACAATCCTCTCGAAGGTGCCTAGTCAAGAGATTAAAACCCCGATGCTAACTGGATCCTCTCTCCCCCTCCTTTGCGTCCTGCGGGGGTGGGGTGGGGGGAGTGGGAGAAGCAAACAAAATTCCCTCCCTCTCCACAAGCAGCTTTTAGGGGGCAGATTTGCCTTTCCGCCTCGATCAGGAGCCTCACCGAGCCGACTGTGACCGGCACTTAAGGCCATCACAACCCCCATCGTTCCCGGCCGCCCCAATCCGTGCCCCTCCCAGGCCGGGGACTACCTCTCCCTTCACACCGGCCCACGTGGAAGGCAAACAATTGAAGGTAGCTCGGCGGAGCGGGAGGGGGGCGAGCGAGGGGTGACTCGCACACCTCCATCTCGCCCTGCGAACGAACCGGTAGAGAGGTCTGGCGGGCGTGGGAGAGGCAGGAGGGAGGCAAAATCCAGGGAGGCAAGTACCAGGAGCTCTAGGTCCCAGCTCTGGGCTGCTCAGTAGAGGAACTGATGGACGCGCGCCGGCAAAAATGTCCCTCCCGCGCGCACACCCAACACGCGCGCGGCACCCAGCATTCCCAAGCGAGGGTTAGCGCGCCGAAGGACTGCCTTGGCATGAAGCGCGAGCTTGGGCTCTTTTTTTTTTTTTTTCTTCCAGATTCTGGGAAATTCTCCCCACCCTTCCTTATCCAGAAGCCAGGTATAGCCAAGGCCAGGAGGCTCCATTCTGCAGCCTTTCCCAGCTTGGGTCCCCAAATCCGTTGGGTAGACTACAATTCCCAGCAGTCTCACTCCCCCAGCCGCCCGGGGAAACCCGCCGAGCCACACAGCGCTGGCCAGCGCTGGTGTTCGGCAGAGTCCTCACGCCATACTCACAGTTAAAGTCGGGCATTTTGGGCAAGATCATCCCGGCGGTGGAGGCCCGCAGCCACTGGTCCAACTGGAAGGTGCCGGCGCCGAGCTTGAGGGGGTCGGCAGCCGGGTGCGAAGGCTGCACCTGGGAGTAGGAATAGGAGAGGGCAGTGTGCTGCGAGGCCAAGGCGGCCGCCGCCGCCGGATACCCGTACATGGGGTGCCCGTAAAGGGCCGTCTGGGGGTGCAACGCCGCGCTGCCTTGAAGCCCCAGCGCGGCGTGGGGGTGGGCGTGCGGGTGCTGATGGGGACCACCAGCGGCGCCGCCACCGGTCAGGAAGCCCGGCTTGGGCACCAAGCCGCAGTGCGCGCCCAGGATGCGGGGCGGCGATGGGCTCTCGGTCCGCAGGCACTCGGATGATGCGCTCGCGTGACCCTCGGCCGAGGAGGGCGGGCTGCAGCTGGAGCTGGAGCTACTGCTGGAGTTGCCGGGCCCTCCGGACAGAGAGGTGACCAAGGCCAACGGAGACGTCTGAGCCGTCGAGGCTGCCGCCGGCTTCGGAGAATCCACCGCCAGCAGCGCGTCGATACGGAAATTCTTGGACTTCTCCATCGACCTCAGACTCACACCGGGCGCTTCCCCGGCTCAGAAGGTGCGGGCGATCATCGCTACACGCGTCTCGACAGCCCAGAGACCGAAGATCCGACGGCCGCTCCCGCAGCCCTGGCGCTCCTCATACAAAGAGCGCGCCAGCTCCGCGTTTCGCAGCCGAAGAAACCCGCGGCTGGCCGCGATACGCGACAGCCGCTTTGACCGCCCCACGAGCCACTGAGACACCTCAGCTGCGCATTCAGCAGCCCTCAAGATTCAGGCGAGGATCCCATTGGCCTGCCGGGAGGACGGACCGGATTGGTGGCCGGAGCTGGGCTCTGGAGCAGCTCATTGGCCACGGCTCACACCTGTCAACGCTGGCACCGTCTGGCCCTGCCCAAGAGAAAGGGCTTCCTGCTCCATTCCCAAAGCTTGGGGGCTCGTTACTTTGGGGTGAAACGCGAAAGGATTGGAGATTTTGTTGGACGGCAGGTCTGTGAGAGAAGACCTAAATAAAGGCTTCTATACTTAGCTGGCGCCCAACTACTTGTGAAAAAGAGAAAGTTCAGTTCAACTCTTATCTATCCGACCATAATAAAAGAATAAATGGTCAAGAGGGATCAGGGACAAATTGCTCAGCCTTTCCTATATTTTTGCAATGGTGAAAACACCTCGGATCATTAAAATGGACATTAACAGATGAGAACCTGATATAAATGCACGAAGGGTGGTTTTCTAGAGGCTGTCCGGGGGGGGGGGGGGCTCAGTTCAAAATTGTTCCCTTCACGCTCCAGAACCTTGTTTGAACCAAATGGAGCCCGGGTAGATCATAGCTGATCCTAACATCCCGGGCATGCTTTAGGATTCAACAAAGGGAAGTGTGCAAGGATTGGGGAAAGGTTTGCGTGGGTCATTTTACAAACGCACCTCTACTCCCCGTTTCTTCCAGAGGCGGGCGGGCGGGTAGCAAGAGGAAGGGGAGAGCTTGTGTTATGAACATATAAATGCTGGCCGAGGTGTTTGACTCGCCTCTGCTTTTGCACTTTCTTCCTCCCTTCGAGGAGTCCCATCAACTGAGCGGGGTAGGGGTCCTTTGGGCTAACGCGGGTGGTCGTGCTTTCTGGCAAGCGGCCGGGGCCTCCGCAAACCCCACCCACGCGCTGCATTTTGAGCGCGCGGGGGAGGGGCGCGAGGTTCATCTGGAAGGGCAGCAAAGACCGAAGCAAGCTTCCAAGGGTGAAAGGGGAAGGGGCGCCGCGACCCACCAAGGGCCGGACTCGGTGGAGAAGTGCTTGGCTCGCCCTGCTTCTTATCCGAGACAACCTGGCCACGCTAACTCGGGAGAAAGAGCCACCGATTCCAACGAGGCTCCGCTCACCTCCCTAAAAGTGCAACCTTTCCGAGGTTTCTGTCCCTTCTCCTTTGGAACTGCCGCCCAGCCTGAGGGCACTTCGGGCCTGGCCAGCTCAGTTTCCTGCGGGGGGGAAAAAAAAAGCCCCTTTTGCAGCGCGCCCTGCTCTGCCTTCCGAAGTTTGGAAGCTAAAGGCGTCGATCGATCGATCGATCGATCGACCGTTGGGCCGGGCGAGGTTCCCGAGGAAAAGAGGACTCGCCTCCAAAAGTTAGTTCTCCGCGAGAAGCTGCAGCGAGTTGCCTCTCTTCCTCGGCCTTTGAGGCGCCGCTTCTCGCTCCGACTGGCCCGGCCGTGCCATCGCGGAAGCGGCTTTTGCTTTGGAAAGCCCCGCGGTTGCAGCAGCTGCCGCCGGGAGTATGAGCAGCTGACAAGTCCGACCGTGGTCAGACAGAACGAAAGCGGCACCTGGCCGATTTGCTGCCTCCGCTAAGCAGGGCAGGAAAAGTTTCTTCCCAGCCCGTTCCCCTTTGGCAGTGCAGGAGCATACGTGTGTGTGTGTGTGTGTGTGTGTGTGTGTGTGTGTGTGTGTGTGTGTGTGTGTGTGTGTGTGTGTGTGTTTGTTTCAAGGACCGCAACAGCTGGGGCGGTCAAAAAAAGCTGGGCGGACGATGACCTGTTGAAAGAAGCAGCCCTAAGGTAGAAGGACGAAGGGGGTGGGGGGGAATTAGCAAGGTCATTTGGGGCTGAGGTCCTGCCCACACGACCCGCGAGAGTCAAGCGGGCTGACCTCTGAGTAACTCACCTCCCCCACCCGAATCCTCGGGAAATCAAGAGCAATTGAGCCGTGTGACAAGTCCAGAAAACGAGGCAACGAATGGCAAGAACCAGGCCGTGTTCAGCGGCCATAGAAGTGTATGCAGCCGCGGTTGCTATTCTTCGTTAGTTGCAGTCTGTGGCCCGGAGATCGCTGCAGACCCCGCTTTCTAGGTTCCGATTCGGACGACTCAGTGGGAAAATCTGAGCTTTAGCGGCTCAGAGTCGGCCACTTCGAGGCCGCCCAGGAAGACCTTTCCCCTTTTCCGCTAAGACCCCCACACCCGCCTGAAAGCGGAGCAGCAGGAGGAGCAGGTAAAGGACACATCATCATCGCGGAGAAAATCTCTCAATGTGGTCGCTAGGAGAGGACAACAATTTCACATAATCAAATCGCGCTGTAATTTTTTTTTCAGAAATCAGCTTTGCCATGAATCCCTACCATTATATTCTGTGCATTTGAAAGAGCCTTATTAAACTCCATATGCCTTGTCTTCCACGAACGTGGTGCCCCTCAGTTGCACACAGGATATACACTCCCACAGGTACTGATCCTTTGCCCAGGGATTGTGCAAACCACACATGGAGGTCACCAAACTTACCATAATGGTGAGCCGATTAATTCTTTCAATTCATTTTTCCCCCCCTAACTGGCAGGCCACACCTCCAACTTATGTATCCCTTGATCCTTGACAATGAGTTCCTGGTTGTGGATTGTGGGAAGAATAGACCAACCAACAATAAAGGGGGACAACTGCCAATGATACCACCCAACAGGAAACTTGACGCCTAATTAAAATCAGTTGTCCCCCAACAGGAAACTTGACAACCTAATTAAAATCAGTTGTCTTTATTTCATCGGTTAAGAAAATGGTAAAGAGGTGTTAGGCTGGGATTTAGAAACCCAGTCTGGGAGAAGTCTCTTGGTGAATGTTTCTCAACCTTAGCATCTTTAAGGAGTGTTGGCTGGGGAATTCTGGGAGCTGAAGTTCACATTCTTAACGTTGCTAAGATTGGGAAACACTCGCCTAGGTCAGGGCTTTTCAACCTTTTCACCCAGTGTACCACTTTTAGGATATGGCAACATCCGAGTACCACCACTCGCCTAGCAAGGTGTCAAAAACTTGACAAAAAAAAGGAAAAAAGTGATGAAGTACAGGTAGTCCTTGACTTACAACAGTTTGCTTAGTGACTGTTCGAAGTTACAATGGCACTGAAAAAAGTGCCCCCCAAGCCACAGCCAAGCAAGACACCTGCCTGCCCACCTGGCGGCGCTCTTCCTCCTGTCTGAGGTTTTCATTGTTGTGAGCATTTCTGTTGAGGATTGGCAGCGGGGGGGGGGGGCTGTTTGGTTTGGTTTGGTGATTGCAGCAGGTTTTGGTCACTGACCTTGGGACACTGTGACCATCATAAATATGAATCAGTTGCCAAATATCTGAATATTAATCACAAGACCCTGGAGATGCTGCAACATTCCAGCTGATCTGCGCTTCTTCTGGGCTCAGCAGAAGTGCCAGGATCAGTGCCGAGCTCCAGCTGATCCTGGCGCTTCTGCTGAGCCCTGACAGCCCTGCAGCTCCAGCCATGTCTCGCTCAGGCTTGTGCGGTGCTGCCACCGGTTCAGCTCATTCCCCTCCCCAGCTACCACTTTTCTAGGATTGTCACGTACCACCTGCCAGGTGCCAATGTACCACAGGTGGTACCCATACCACTGGTTGAAAAGCCCTGACCTAGGTTAACCCAACCTATCTTATAGTGCTACTGTTTCTAGGAGGATAGACAGAGGGGAAATCCAGTATGAATTGCATTGCTCAGCTCCTAGATGCAAAAAAAAAATAATTGTAAAAATTACAGAGGAAACTGGGAGGAGAGGAGCTGAACATACTGATGCATATTAAGTCAAAACTGAAACTGTATGCAGTGAAGACAATGCAACCTCTTTCCATCGTTGGTGGTGCTATCTGGAAACATTTCTTTTCCAGGGATTGATGTTTGAGGTTCCAAGCAAGGAAGTTCTCTCTGCAATGTCCATACATAGCAGATAGTTGAAAATAATTTGAATTCTTAGGGTTGTATCATAAGGACTGGTTCACAGTCTGGTCCTTTCATGGGGGAGAAAGTCTTGGTGGCCCTGACTGTTTCTCTTCTGAAGAGGGTCCAGGGCTATCCCAGATTGCTCAAATGCTTCAATGGCTGGAACATGCCACTGGAGAATTCTGGCAGTTGAAGTCCACAAATCTTCAACTGGACAAGGTTGAGGAAAACTGGTCCAGCAAATAGGCTTGGATCATATTTGAATGGGAGACCCCCCAGCAAGCTAGGTGATCCCAAAATGTTGGGAAGCTGAGAAAGCTACATGTGGATGTATTCATAAAGTCAACACAGGTCAAGCCTGACTTGAAGATTTTATCCTATGTTTTAATGCCACGTGGAGGAACAGCAATTCCTTTCTGAGTCTCATTGCATTCATCTTTAAATCTCCAGATTGATGGATTGCCAATTGATTGCTAATTGATTGATTCCCAGGAATCCAGTAATTAACTACTACTGTTAGCACAACAGAGTACTGCTTAGAAAAAAAAAATTGAAATTACTAAGAACCATAGAAAATAGTGGCTTGGTACTCATATATCCTCTTTTTATTGGCTGGAATCATATCATGAGCATAAACATTGTATATTGAAAGGACAATACTGTAAATGCTTCAATTCACATTGATTCATATTCCAGACCTGAAAACATACATCATAATGTTGCCAATGAAATAAATGTACTATAACATCATAACATTGCTATTAAAAGAAATATAATATAAATTTAATAAACAAATAACTCAAAATCCAAGGAACCTTGT